TAATTAGCCTGTGGGCAAGGGGGCAGCAGGGCCTCCGCGGGCAAGATCCACCGGAGGTCCTTTTGCCTACCCCTGGGTTATAGAATAAAAATTTCAAAATTGCCTAAGTGATTTAGCAGCTGAAGTTGTATTCTAAAAAGTGACTTAGGCACTTAAGTCTCACTGGATTTCAGTGGAGTGATGAAAACCAGTGCAAGCAGCTGTAGGCAAACCAGGGAATCCCACATTTCCAAGCACAGCTGTGGCCTAGTGTGCACCATAGCCCATCTCCTAGGAAAACTGCCCTGGCCAACAGTATTCCGGTGTTGGAGAACCTAGCACATTTTTTGCTTTCTCACGGTGTTCTGGGCAGTGCCTGTTTTGGATCTAAAGTAGCACCTGACAAACTCAATTCACTGCATTGAACCTAGAGGGTTTTCTACCACTAGTGTCAGCTGGAAGAAATCTGTGGCTTTGAAACCAGAAAAGTCTTTCTGCTGAACACACTATTTATTCCATTTCACAAATGAAAAATTGTTTAGTTGGCTGCTGGCTTGCTGGACTACGGAAGGAGAATGTGAAAAGGGGAATCCATGCCAGGAATAAAACTGAGCGCTGCTTTGTGTCTATCAGATGTAAAAATAACTCCATAGAAATGAAAACGTAACTGTATCTACTGCAAGCTGGACAGTAAAAGGAGATAGACTGAACATTGTTATTCAACACCTTGTGGAAGTTCAGCATTAGGATTTTAATCTGTAGTTTCTGAAAAAACCTTTTATTGAACCATAGAACTAGACCTTACCTGTAGAGCCCTGCAAATCCATGTATATCTGCTTCATATTGATGGGTATCTACATCCGTGCCTCTGGAAGCATATATCTGTGGCTTATTTTTGCGGATATGGATGAGGATACAAATTTTGTATCTTGAACCGTGCAAATTTGTAGATATCCACTGTATATCTGTGGGTCCTCAGATCATCTTTGCAGATGCGGATGTAGATACCAATTTTGTATCCGCTCAGAGTTTTACTTCCCTGCCTAAATTCTGCGGCATTTAAAACTGCAGACGCTTCAATAGATTAGTTGTCCTTTCCCTTAACTTCTTCAAAAGTTATCAAAACTTTACTCTGGAAAAGCTAGATGATGATTATGTTTGTCATTACTTAATGCTCACGAAATGTGCTGGATTAACATTTAAGCCTGTTAATGCACAGATCAGTTACAGTAGAAGCAGCAGCAGCAGCAGAAGATCCCTCCTACTTTCTTATCAATACGACTGAACCCTGAGCTGGAAGAATTACTTTTTGAAATGAGAGGGATCACTCAGTTTCCATAGTCCATTCAGTCCATAGCCTCTCAATTGAGACTACAAACAAGAGTGGCAATTAGCAGCAAGCACAATGATAGTTTTATCATGTGGGTATGTGTCCATTAGACACCAACTCATGGACCCCCCCCCCCAACTAATTTTACACAGGTGGATGGGACTCCATGGAGCGTAATGGACCTCATTGGTGGATCCTTTTGTAGATCCGGATCTCTACAACTTTGTACTACTCCTCCCAAAATGATGTATTGTGTAGTGAAGTAGAGCATCACAAACCCAGATGACTGGCCTGGATTTTTCAAAACTAGACAATTTAAGACAGACTTTCCAGTATATCGGATGCATTCCTTAATCTGTTGTTACAATATGCTTCCAAATTGCTTTAACAATCAACATCTTGGCCAACAGTCCTTGATTTGAAAACTCCAAAGTTTTCCTCTGGCAAATAGTGAGAATCTGTCACTGAAGCAGTCTGAAAGGAATCAGGAAGACATGGGATGTTGTAAAACGTAAAACGTGTTTAGCAATTCCAAAACACATTCACTCATTTTAAATGTTTCAGATCCTTAGTCAAGATTATTTTGCTCAGCTTGGGTAAATCAGTACTCAGTTATGTCTGACTGTGTTCAATTTGAGTACACTTAAGAACAACTTTTCCCCCTTACTCTCAACATAGGCTCCAAGGGCTGTCATGGGGCTGGAGGACAGATGGTTATTCTTTCTGCAATAAACATTTGAGCGGGTGACAAACTGTGCCAGTTACTGACTAGTTACGACTGCTATTTGCAACAAGTGTTGGCCAGCCACTGGCATTAGTTGATTTCTTATCCCGTCATTTGACAATAGTTTGTGCTGCCTAAGGTGCAATATTTTCATATTGGGCCTTACTGACTCTTTTTGAGGGACTCACAAGTCTGGATCACCCAGTTCACTCTTGGGGTACGTCTAGACTACATGGCTCCGTCGACGGAGCCATGTAGATTTGTTGTTTTGGCAAAGGCAAATGAAGCCGCGATTTAAATGATCGCGGCTTCATTTACATTTACATGGCTGCTGCGCTGAGCCGACAAACAGCTGATCTGCTGTTTGTCGGCTCGCGTGCTAGTCTGGACGTTCCCCCTGTCGACATCAAAGCCCTTTGTCGGCAGCCCCGGTAAACCTCATTTAAATCACGGCTTCATTTGTCTTTGCTGATCTGTCTAATCTACATGCCTCTGCCGACAACATGGCTCCCACGCTGAGCCGAGGAATAACGGGGCTTTGATGTCGACAGGGGGAACGTTCAGACTAGCGAGCTGTTTGTCGGCTCAGCGCGGCAGCCATGTAAATGTAAATGAAGCCACGATCATTTAAATCGCGGCTTCATTTGCCTTTGCCTATGTGTCTAATCTACATGCCTCTGCCGACAGAGGCATGTAGTCTAGACACAGCCTTGGATATAAAAGACATGTTCCTACTATCCCTCCACATGTGACCAATCCAGTTGTCCTCAGTCAGAGAATATTTTCAGCATCTCTCCCAAAGTTTTCACCTCAGACTTTTTTAAGCTTCTTTTTCCTGATTCAAATTCTGATGTGCTCCCAGATTGATTTTCTATACTTTTTTTCTCAGCAAAAAATATGCTGAGGGACTCATTTGCATGAGTTGAGATCTCATTTGCATATTTTCTGCCGATCCCTTTTTTGCTAGGGTTTTTCTGCAAAAACAAGCAGAGTGGACGTTTTCTTTTTATGCAAAAACTCCTTTTCCCGCAAGATTCTTATGCCCCAAAAAATGAGGTTTACCGATCTTGCAGGGAAAGGGTTTTTTGCGCAAAAAGAAAATGTCCGCACTACTTGTTTTTGCACAAAATCCCAAGCGAAAAAACAGATCGGCAGAAAATATGCAAATGAGATCTCAACTCATGCAAATGAGTCCCTCAGCATATTTTTTGCTGAGAAAAAAGCTTGTAGTGTAGACGTAGCCATATATTTTAGCAAATAAGATCCTTTTTACACTACCTTTCAAATTTGTTTTCCTAGTCTTTATCAAGAAGTCTCTGGTGGTTTCAGCTGCTTCAAATTGATTTTGTTGCCCTTTTCTATTCACTGCATCTTCTAGTCTTCAGATCAAGCAGTTGGATACATTATTCATTATTATTATTTTGGTAGTGCCTACAGGCATGTCAACACAGCAGGGCTAACGCTGAAATAAACTACACATCTTGAGCTGTGCCAATTGCGTAGCTTAAGTCAAAATAGTTTATTTCGGTTTTTGGTGCTGTCTACAGAGCAGGAAGTCCAAGAGACAGCACTCATCCTCTGTCTTCCCTTACTCCTCATGATATGAGGTTACGGGAGTCAGAGTAAGAAGTCATCCAGCTTGACATTATTTCAACATTATTTAAAACAATTTCTTGTAGTGCAGACATGGACTACAGTATTCCAAAATAACGCTGCTGTGTAAATATAGCCTACATGTGCTCACCTCAATTTTTGCTAGACACAGGGATACCAAGTGAGCTTGCAATATGGTCAATATAATAAGCTAGGAAAAAATTATCTTTACAGCAGAACTTTTAGAGGGTGTAAGTGGAGCAAGATAGCATTTGACAAGGTCAGCAAGGTTGTAATAGCCACTGTCTGAGGCCAGGTCTACACTACAGAGTTTTTATGTAAAGACAATTGTTTTTGCACAAAAACTGATGGAGCATCCACACCTCAAGTGCATTTTTGCACAAGTAAAATGAAAGAACGGAGGATTTTTTCAGTGTAGGTATTCCTCATTCTACAAGGAATAACTCCTTTTTGCGAAAGAGTTCTTTCGCAAAAAGGCATGTGTGGATGGGGAGGAGGGGTTTTTTTGTGCAAGAAGAGGAAAGAGGAAAAAGCACAGGTGCCCCGGTGGCCATTCTGTCCATAGCAATCACAGCTTACATGTGAGAGAGCAGTCCGGATGCTCTCTTGCACAAAAGTGCATCGCTTTTTCTATGTGCTTTTGCAGTGTGGACACTCTCTTGCACAAGAAGCCTGTAGCCTAGACATAGCCTGAGATGGTAAATCTGGGAGTCATCAGCATAGAGATGATTGTTGAAGTCATGTTTGTCATCCAGAGCCTGGGTGTAGAGGGAGAAGATGGGGCCAATGATAAATCCAGATTTGGAAATAGTGACAAGCTAGAGGTTAGTAACTAATTCCCATGGAATCCCCGTGGAAATATCTTTCCAGTTGGAACAAGTTCAGTTCATGGCTACTCTTTGTTTCCTGCCTGTTGGCCAATTGTCAATTGAATGAGCCAATTCTTCTCTTACTCCATGACTCTATAATTTAGGTAGCTAATATGATTGCCAGCAGAAAATCCCCAAGCACAAAGATGTTCTGAACAAACATTCACACAAACTGTAAACTCAGGTAGAATTAGGACCAAATGCAATCCCACCCCCCATCCTTCTCCACTCCCTTGCACCTCAGAAAAGCAAGCCCTGGGACCGGCTATGGAGATGCCCCTTGAGCACAGAGCGTTGCTCTGCAGAGATTCTAGGAAAGAGCCTGAAAGTCTGCAAGGGGAAAGAAAGGGATTTATTATTTGCAGTAGTATTACGTAATGCTTCTGCCAAGTGCTGTTGGCAGCAAAAAGGACATGATTCAATTTCCTCCTGAAAACTTAAACATTAGCTGGAGCCCCCAACCACAAACCTGGGAAACTATATATATATATACCTCCCTAGACACCCTGATAGGCAGCATTTCCCCACTCACAACTTCTGAGTCCATGGGGTTAAAACAAAGAGAACTTTACTGGGAGGAGTGTGTGTGTGTAAGGGGAGAGAGAACAGAAAAACTTGGGAAGCCAGTAATTAATACATTAACAATATCTATTAGGTGGGACTTGTTGCCCATTAATATATCTTAGCAAGAGTTCCAGCCTCAGTCCGCCTCTTGCGATTGTGAGTGACTGTGTCCTAGTCATCTTCATCCTCTCCAGCTGCCCACTCACATTTTGTTGTCCTGCATCGGTAGAGTCCAAGTCCTCAGGCATATCAGTATTGCCTGGGCTGCTCTGGAAGTTTTAATACTGATCCAGCTGATGTGATGTCACCTTTGATTGTAGGAGACCTTCACCGGAGTCCTTCAGGCTGCTGCTGCTCTCCTCAGCTACCTCAGAAACATTGCCTGCTTTAGCACCATCTCTGTCTGCCACATTAAAGCTGCCTCTGTCTGGCTCCATCCGCTTGCTCAAAGCCACCTCGGCTCAGCTCTGTCAACTCTCTCAAAGCTGTCCACAGCCTTGAGGCCTTGTGATGAGTCTTCAAAGAGGGATCAGTGGCATAAAGGACCCTCACAGAGTCCTTGCCAGTAGGGACACACTCTCAGTAGAAAGTAGGAACCAGGCTGGCTACTTACTCATGCTTGGTCCAGACACCATTACTCATCTGTGGCTGGCCGTGACTTTTTTCAGGGTGACTCCTTATCCCAGGCACATTTTGGTGCAGTTCTCTTGTCTTTTCATTTCCCAATAGGGATAATAGAATTGTATTGCCCCTAAACACAAAACTGAACTGTATGTGAACTGTCACATAACTGAAATGCAACTGAAGCGTGGCCCATTTAGTCATTTTCCTTTGCTCACCAACAGATGCTGGCAGAGAGGTCCCTCTTCTATGAAACCTCTGGAGTTCCAAGCAGCTCTGGATCACTCTTCTCCTTGTTTACTAACAAGTGTCAACAATTAGCTCTAAATAGGCAGAGAGAGAAAGTGTGGGATGAAAAACAAAGACATAGTAAGGCGAAGTGACTTCCTCAGTATCAATAGCAGAACTGGGAATAGAACACAAGCCTCCTGACTGTCCTTTCCCAATGCTCTATTCTGTTTGGTTTGCCGGGGTTGCTAGAGAATCCTGAAACCATAGAGACTGACTGAGCCAAAGCTCCTCAGAGCTCCAGCAAGTACCACCAGATTGTGAGTTGGAGGAGGGGGATCTAATTTGACATTTAAGCCATAACGTTATTCTAAGTTGTGATGGGGTGGACCAGGCCCTGGGGCCCCCTGCCAGAGGCCCTGTGGTCCTGCAACACCCTACCCCAGAAAGGGTCATAGACAAGTCCTCCGGGAGGCTAGAGTGGTTTGTAGAGGAACTGGCCAGTCAGGGGCCAAGAAAGCCTACCAAAGATGCTGCAAAGCAGAGCAGCACTCAGTTGCAGTCCAGATCTGAAGGAGAGAAGACCAGAGGTGACTGGCTGGCTGAGAGAGTAGAAGTCCCACAGAGAGCTCTGTGTGGACTATTATTGTGAATTATGCTGGACTGAGATAAAGCCCTGAGGTGAGGGTCAGGAAGCTGTCTCCAGGAGGGGAAGCCCTGGAGGCATCACTCTCATCTATAGTGGGGAAACAGATGGAGGGACTGTACAGAGAGCACCAAGATGGGCCTTTATTAAGTGTGGACCCTGGAAGGGGTTTTGAGTATTTCACAGAGGGGAGCGGCTTGGCTGGAAGGCGGAGTTGCCGAAGAGCCTTTTTGCTGACAGACTAAGGGAGTGTGGGCACATGCACTCGGCCAGACAGGAGGTGAGTGCCACCATGTTACATAAGTTTATATGAATTTAAAGGGCTGGGAGAAGTACCTGGATAAAGATAGTAGTGTTTGCATTTTCCTGGTGAATTACAGAAAACATCCATTGAGGAAACAAACATTACTTCAACGAAAGACAGAACTGAAATAATACCATATAATTTATGTAACTAGCCAACATAACAGAAATTGCAAATTTTACTATCAAATATGCTAATTTAAATTTACATTTAGCAAATAGTTGAACATTTGAATTAAAAATGGCTTCTTATAAGTAAAACATGACTCACGTGCTTTTAATATTCTGAGGTAGAGAACACAAGAATGTTAAAACTTAAAAAACTACAAATAGTCTAGAAGCACCTTAAAGACTAACAAAATATGTAGATGGTATCATGAGCTTTCATGGGTACAACCCACTTCTTCAGATGACTGGAGTGTAGGAAGTCCAGATCCAAGAATAAATAAGGGAAAGAAGGAAAAAAAAATGAAGGGGAAGAAGAAAAAAGAGAGAATGAGTAGATAAGCTTCAGAGAGGTAGACGAGTTAGTCTGTAACAGGAAAGACTTAAAAAACAAGAAATAGTCTAATAGCACCTTAAAGACGAAATAGTTACAAGAGGCTGATAAAAAGCATTAGTTTGCACTTGGAAAGGAAGATGACCAACACCAGATTCTACACAGACTTCTGGACTTCCTATACTCCAGTCATCTGAAGAAGTGGGTTGTGTCGATGAAAGCTCATGATACCATCTACATGTTTTGTTAGTCTTTAAGATGCTACTAGACTGTTTGTTGATTTTTATGTTTTTCCTGTTACAGACTAACTCGGCTACCCCTCTGAAGCTTTTGTAAAAGAATGCTAGGAACATGACCAAATCATTTGTTTTGAAATCTGAATAAATATTAATGGGAAATTTTCCATTAGTTTTAAGTATTACAAGTACCACCCCTTGTAATAAGGTACAGTGAATGAAGAAATGACAACATAGGATCAGGCATGGCACACTGGATGATGTGCTGGATTCACAGAAATGGTGTAAATCTCCCCTTTTTGGGCTCAGATTTTGTTATGCAAAATCATACTAAGGAGTAATACCTTCCATCACAGGTAGGCTGACTGACCTCCAGGATTCTAGTTGATGAGTCTAAAGGCATACAATCTGGTCCCAGAGAAACAGAATATTTAGCTGTTTAATTCTGTGGGGCTATGTGATACTACTGAACAATTAGAAAACATATGTTTTATCTGTTGCTCTTGTCTGGTGGAGATATCTTATTGCAGCCTTTTTGATAACAATGTTAATTGAGCCCTTGTTTTATATGGTGCAATATGCAACCACTCAAATCGGCCAACAGTAAATATGTTCTCTTTATATTTGCCCTGCAGTATTATTTCTGTGCTTTTTATAGGCTACAGATGTGAAATTAATGGTTTATAGTTTTCTAAACTGGTTCACTCTTCATACTTTGTTGGACTATTGGTACCACATTTACAGATTTCTAAACCTCCTGAAACCTCACATAAACTTGGAGGTTTGATGGCTTTCACCAACCCATGAACTCTCAATCTGCAACTCCTTTCAAACACCAGGATAAACATTCAAGTAAACTTGCTGATTTCTTAGTATCCCTTACTTCCTGCATGTCTGTTGCTCATTTTATACTGAGGTTATCAAGTACCCCAAACACATGCAGTAGCTACTGTTGAGAGTCAGCATTTCCACAATGAAGTAAGGCACATTAGCAGCCAATGCAATGCCAGGATCTTTTATTTAGGTGCAGCAGTTTTGCATCCTTCTGTTGTTGTTGTTTGTTGTTTTATAAACATTCATGGATGTGGGACAATTTGTATTCCAGGAAATATTTGAGCCAACTCTATAAACAGATAAATACAGCGAAAAGAAACAGATAACCACAGGTTCTGCAACCCTTATCCTACGTCTACACTGCCTCTTTTTTGCGGAAGAGGCAATGCAAATGAAGCACTCATTAGCAAATTCTCACACTTCATTTGCATATTCAGAGGTTTTTGTGCAAAAAAAGCAGTGCAGATGGATCCGTTTTGCACAAAAGGTTTTTTTGGGGAATAAGGGTTCTTGCAGAAAAGGTTTTTTTTGCCCAAAATGAACCCGTCTACACTGTTTTTTTGCACAAAAACTGCTTCTGCAAAAAGCATTGGAAGAGGACATGCAAATGAGAATGCAACATATGCTAATGAGCACTTCATTTGCATTTCCTCTTCCTCAAGAGGGAAGCTGTGTAGACGTATTAGTCACTTGGGCTAGCAGTTGACAATGCCAGGAGTCCTATTGAAGCCAGTTGGCCTCTGTCAGCTTATGGGTGTTGCTTAACTTAAGGGAGGCAGAACCTTGTCCTTAATGTGGTCAAGGTCAAAAATTAATTAAAAGTACTAAAGTCTTATTCTCTTTTATTGAACCAGCTATTTCTACTTTAAAAGGGGGAAAATATAGGATTTCAGGTGAAGATCCCAGGATCCTGACTCAAAAGTAAAGGAATTTAGCAATGTAAGTGTAAAAGTAGCAGTGGGGAAAAAAGGATTGATTTATTTTGGCAACAACAATTTTCTCAAATACCTTACAATCCTTATGAAAACATTTTGGTGTTTTACAAGTAATATATATGTAATTTTTAAACTGGTAAGGCATTCCCTTGTTTTCACTTTCCCTTCCTCCCCTTTCCTAACAAACACACATTCTTTCTAAACTTAAATTATAGTTTCAGTTGAGAGTATCTGTGTTTTAAAATATCAGTTGACATTTCAAATTCCCTTTGGGAAAACAGAAGAAATGCCTCCACTCCTGTTTTTAAAAAAAGAAAGAAAGAAACAAAAAAAAAAACCCCAAACCAAAACCAAAAACTTTTATCTAACTACTTTTGGGAGTCAAGAGAAATTTACTGACAATCCTTAGAATGCCATGAACTGAGACTGTATCATTATAATTTAGTTTCTTATACATATAAACAAATTAAAACAATTCAAAGAATAATTGCTGAATACCAAAGTCATTCCCAATGATGGAAGAATTGACTAGGGATTCTATTTTCTCACAACTAGATTTGAGAAACTGCTATTTCTTTAATATGTTATTCTTTAATATAAATAACAGGAGAATCAGGCCTCTGGTGTGTAACAAGAGCTATTTCTGGCTGCCATTTGCAAGATTTAGATGGATTGAGAATTACAGTATAGATGGCTACAGAGTTGAAAAATGATAAACTCCTTTCTCTTGCACATCCCTTCTCAGTGGCTGCATGTAATTGGAAACATAGACACTGAGGCACATAAACGTTAAGATTTCCAGATTCTGTAATTGTATTTTCTGTTTATTCTACTCAGTTTTCCAGATTAGAGGATGGGAGGAGGAAAGCAATAATTTAATAAACTATGGAAAAATTAACAGAGCAAGAAGAATCATATATAATCTTTGTTTTACAATTAAATTACATTAAACTTAGTCCCTAAAGTCCAAAGCATCTTTGATTTACTGTTTACTTGGCCTGATATATTTTCCAGATGGAAGATTGTGAAAGACAGGTAATATGTAAAGTTATCTTCTAATCTCGTGCCATATTATTTTGTCTGCCTTTGAAGTTCTGAAAGTAAACTGAAAATGACCTTTCATCATTGTACCTGCAGAGTATGATATAAGTATAGTTCGTAGTGATTCCTGTATATAAAGAATGGTTTCTAGGGGCTGCTTATGCTGGTCTTGATTCTTCTTAGGTGCTGAGCAAGGTTCTTCTTGATTCTTCTGCATAGTCCTGACAACAACCAACTCCAATTCATGTTGGTTGAAGTCAAACCAAATTTACATACTGTAAAACATTCATCAGATTGAAACAAATCTGTTTTGGGTTAGGCATAACATGTTGTTCCACTCTAAACATTTTGTTTTGGGTATTTTCAAAAGCCTAGATTCCCAAAGCAACAGCAGCATGTCAACAGGGATATCTGAAAGACTGTACTGCAAAGAGCTAGGCAAAAGTTTGATGTCTTCTGATTAGTAATCAGAATTGTTTATATGAACAAAACATGGTAAGAATAGTCCTGCAGGAATTTGTAGGTAGACTAAATAGTCTCTTTGTAGGTAGACTAAATAGTCTAAATAGACTTTCCCTTTGAAATGCCCCCAGGTTTTTAATTATAAAACTAGCTCAACAGCAAAATATTTATTTTGATGCTCACCCCAAAGTTTAATAAAACTAAGCAACAGAGAATGGAAGGAAGTGATCTATAATCTATCCTATTCCACCAAGCATACAATTCAAGGTTTTCAGCCTAAAAACAACAAAACAACAACAACAACAACAAATCCCTCTTTTCTTAAAATTACAGTAAAATAGGTAATATAAAGAAAATGAAATAAATCTCCATGAAAGAACTGAATGTGAAAACTCCTGTAGGTCAGATAAAGATGTCTGGAGATCACTGGGAAACCTCTATTGTATTCCTTGCTTGTTTTGCTCTTTGTTTTATCATCATAATTTTAGCATGGTCTTGCTCTATCTATACATCCATCCATCTAGACAACTATAGGGCTCTCATTACCATAGTATGTGAATCCTCATAAAAGGTACCTTTCTGATATCACTTCAGAATTTTGTATTTATCCACTGGGCAGGTACAACAACTAAAAACAATGGCAATAATCTTCAGCCATGATGTGGATGGTTCTTACTTACGACACAGATGGTTTTAGTGTCCTTTGCCCATTCTGTTCTTAGGTTGTGCTTGGGACTGTGAAGTAAAATGCCATCTTCAATGCTCTTTCTCCTCTCTTCTGGGAACTGGATCAACACCAGCAAATCATTTTCTAAGCAGCTGTCCAATAGTGATAACTTTGCAGTCACTACTGAGCTGGGTGGACATAAGAACATAAAAACATAAGAACAGCCGTACTGGGTCAGACCAAAGGTCCATCTAGGCCAGTAGCCTGTCTGCCGACAGTGCCCAGCACCAGGTGCCCCAGAGGGAGTGGACCAAAGACAATGATCAAGCGATTTGTCTCCTGTCATCCTTCTCCAGCCTCTGACAAAGAGAGGCCAGGGACACATCTGATTTTATTTGAAAGCTACTCTGCATCCAAGGAATGCGCCCGTTATTTTGAAATATTTTTTGAAATAACAGAAACACTATTTCTCCATCCTTGTAAACCTTGTTGCATGAGGGTTAAGGGATGGCTCAAAATAGTGCTTTGTTTCGAAATTTGGTGTCGCGTAGATGTGCCAAATTTTGATATAGCCTATTTCAAAATAAAATTGAAATAAAAATACACAATTTGCTTAGCACAAATTGCGTATTTTATTTTGAGTTTCGGGTGCTGTGTAGATGCATCCTAGGAAATTATTTTGAAATAACTTATTTCGAAATAATAATTCCCCGAAAAAGTGTTTTGAAATAGCATGTCCATACTCTAGGGAAGCCTTGAAATTAGTCCGAGGCAGGCTCCCTTAATGTGGATGTGCTACCTTGACTTACAGCCCCAGGAAGCACAGGGGAGTCATTTCTTGGAATGGCTCTGGAGACTAGTTATTTCAAAATAGCAGCAGCGGAGCATCTACACTTCTGCTATTTTGAAATAACTATTCTAAAATAAGCGTTATTCCTTGTGGAGAGCAGAAGTTATTATTTTGAAATAATAGGCTTCGTTGTGAGGACGCTACACTTGTTATTTCAAAATAAGGGGAGTTATTTCAAAATAACTCCCTAAAATAACTCCCTAGTGTAGACCAGGGTGTGGCGACCGCTCTACAGTTTGTCATGTCAGCAATACCACATACACATATGTTTGTTCTAGCTTAGTAAGAAAATTTGAAATGTGTATCAGTATAGATACCATAAAAAGGTATTTGAAAATTTATACTATGTAATGTGCAAAATGTTTATTCAAGAGATTTTGATTCAGAGTATTGGGAAGCCATCATTATTGTTACTGTTATAAAATGTAATCACTTTCAGTACTAGAAATAAAGTAGTAAGGTATAATTTTAGTCTAGTGTACAAGGAGTTAAGCAGATAGTTTCTGATAAAGCCTGCAGCTTAACTGTAATTGAACTGTAAATTAACTATGTTAAAACAATATTTTTGTTTTTGCAGACTTTTTTTTTATTATTATTACTGCTGTCAAACAAACTAAGTCAGCTTTTTGAACTTATCTGGCAGGCTGCCATAGTGACATACGCATAGATTTTCCAGCTCGTATTCATTACAGAGATCCAATAAATCCCCCAATGCACACTAGAAGATTAAAGAAACATCTGAATGAGTATTTCCATTTTAAAAGGATGCCTGTGCAACACGTCACAATGCAGCCGTCTGTTCCCTTTACAATGAAATTACTCTAAATTTTTTGTTTTGTAAAAATGACTTGAAATTTGTAGAACTGTTTCAAGGACTTTTTCATTGTCAAAGAATCCAAGCTGTATCTTTCAGGAATACATGCAAACCTCGAGTTCCTATTACTATCACACCTTCCCACTAGTTCCTCTACGTTGTTCTTCACAACTAGTCCCTCTACGTTGTTCTTCACCTTCGTTGCCCTGCAAATTTCTCAGTGTAGGTGACTTCTGTGTACATAGACTTCAATGGGATTCTGATAAGGCAACGGGCTCCACCTATGTCAAGTCAGTTGCAAGATCAGGATCTTAGGTTGTAATAACTTTGAAGACAGAGTCTGTTTTATTCTAAGTTTATACAGCCTGCAGCATAATGAAACCCTCCTCAATTTAGGTGGCTCTGGGTATGTGTATAATACAAACAATAATTAATAATAGTCATCAGCAGTCTAATTTCAGTTCCTGAAGGTGAAAGAAATATGTATAATAAGGAAACAGCATTAACATTGCAAATTAGATTAGATTCATACATTTCCTTTAATTTTAATAATCTAAGGGCATATCTACACAGTAGGGCAAAAGTTGAATTAAGCTACGCAACTTGAGCTACATTAATTGCATAGCTTACGTCAAAATAGCTGAATTCATTTTGTGGTGCTGTCTACACAGCAGGAAGTCGAAAGAAGAACACTCTTCCTTCGACTTTCCTAACTCTTTGTGAAATGAGGGTTACAGGAGTCAGAGTAAGAAGTCCTCCAGCTCGACATTATTTCAAAATAACGGCTTGCAGTTTAGGAACACACTTTATTTCGAAATAACGTCAGTTTTTCTGAAATAATGCTGCTGTGTAGACATAGCCTAAGATACTATTTTAAAGTTAAGACAATTTGAGGCCTGATTCAAAGATGCATTTTAATTTGGTGCCTGACTGAAGACTGTAAAAAGGTTCACTGATTTTTATAAATATGATGCATAGACTATCAGTTGGTGGAAACGTGTTTAGCTCCACTGACTTCAATAAGTCAGTTCTAATGAGACTTCTTTAATGCACCAGTGCTGATTTATTCCAGCTGTGGGCCTAACCCACACTGTGATTTTGAGCTTGACGTCAGTTGTTTAACCCCTTTGGTGCTCTAAAAATGATCAATAACAGCCGGAGTCATGTTGCTTTCCATGGGTGCGTGTTTTCCTTGTCACATATCATCTACTATATAGCCACAGCTCTGCCACAGTTTCAAAATATTTTGTCATATTTACTCACATAATCTCTGCTGTTCCCTCACCTTGTTGCAGCTACATCTCCTTTTGTTTGTGCCAGGGAAAAAATTTCAGTCTCTTTCTCCATTCTACTCTTTTATTGCAGTTTTCATTTGTACATTGCAACAGCTCCAGTCCTGATACATAAGGGAAAAAACGACAGAGAAAAACTGCAAAAGAGAACAGTGCTGGAAAAGGCACAGTGGGACGTCTCCTCAAAAGGCAGTTAAATAAATCATGAAAGAGAACAGGGTGGAATCATGCTAAGTACTCATTGACAAGTGCTGAATGCTCACTACCCCTGTTGGGTTCCACAGAAGTGGAGTGTGCTCACCACTGTGCAAGGCTGTTCACCAGATTCTACCTTCACTGTTACAAAATGCACAGTCCTGAGCAGTGTTGTCTGTAAGCTGTGTGCTTGGGTGGCCACCCAGGAGTGATTCAAATGCTGCCAGCTGAGTAGCAGAGTGCCTGCAGCCACCACGGCCGGCAGTATGTGTTTCTACTAGTAGTGCACATCTGCTCATATTTTGGGGAACTTAACACAATTTATTCCTCTCATAGGTGGAAAAAGTTAGAGGGAACATTGGCCCTGCACCTTTGCCCAGGCAAAAATCCTCAATGACTTACAATTGTGGTAGTGCCTAGGAGCCCCAGTCAGGACTCTGTGTGCGACATGCTACTGACACAGAACTAAAAGATGCTTCCTGCCTCAAAGAGTCTACCATCTAAGTATGAGGCAAGAGATGATAATGGGTGAGGAACAATGACACAATAAAGGCAGCAGAATCAAAGTTTAAAATACTATTCAAGGGTTTCTCATCTTGGTTTGAGCCAAACCAATGTTCATTACTAGCTGCTGCTATTATTATCGCCATCATTATTACACTATTACAGAAACTCCAGATTTCAAATTCTCATACTTTATGCTTTTTTAAAGTACCTTCTAACATGGCCCAGGAGAGTTAATGCCTGAACATGTCATATACTGCAGTGCATGTTCTAAAATATATAAAAATCAGCTAGTAAAAAACCAAACAAACCCTAAATAAAGAACAGATGTGACATGTATAACTAGTATTTAACAAGGACACATTTGGATGAATGTATTATGGCTGAAGACTGTCATTAAAACCTGGCAATCAGAGTTGTCAACATGTTCCTCTAGTGAATGCCCAAAACTTGTTGACAATGCCTTTTGGCTAAGGTGACTCCTAGGTTTATAACTTCCTATGTAAAATCCATTATGTAATTAATTGGAATAGTGTTTCTTTTTATGAAATTACAAATGTTCCCAAATCTTCAAGAAAGCAAACATTGGGTTAGTGTTGCTCTCATATCAGTGGTGTAAACAAGGAATAATGCCCATTGTCTTCAATAAGGGATTTGCATTGATTTTACAGGATAAGGTGAAATTTGATACTGTTATATCTAATACAACCCCCCAAACTAACAAACCCAAGCCAAACAAACCCCAAACTAACAAACCCGAAACAAACAACATTTGCTAAAGCTTTTCTTGGGGTGTGAAAAGAACTTGCAGTTTATTTCACATCTTGGATGTGGTGGCATCCTTAGTCTTACATGAGAGGAAATATAAAACTACCAAGTGCCAGATTCTGATTTCAGGAATACGAGGGGTCTTGGAGATGAAGTTATGGAACCATCCCTACTAACTTAGGCCATTGGTTCTGCATGTGACCCAAGGCAGTGTTTCCCAAATGGTGTTCTGTGGAACCCTGGGGTTTCGCAAAGTGAAAATAAGGGTTCTGCGAGAAAATTCCATTACAATAGCGTTTTATGATTTAAAAATAATTAATATTTAAGCATTTATGAATTTGATTGAAAACAATCTTTGTTTATGTTTGCCACGATAAGTGTCCCTGTGTAATGCCAGCTTAACCAGAGAGTGGGGATGATGATGTCACTACTCAGCTGCACGCACAGTCAGTCAGTGGTGCGATCACTTGTTATATACCACCATAAATCCCTGTACTCACTCTCAGGGAGTCTTACAAAGTTAGCTATCATATATCGCTCGCCGGTGAAGTGCACACAATTGGGGAATCACTCATAAAACCAGGGGCAAAAGATACTGTAATATGTACGTTGGATGAGGAGTCTTGTCAAAAAGTTGAGGCTGTGCTCCTATCAAACAATACTGTCGTGTCGTATTCACAATCTTGCTGCTGTCATCGAGAAGGAGCTTATTTTTGGCTGCATTTACGTGACACATGTTCATTACAATTAGATGAGTCCTCTGATGTTGTGGGTCTTCCAATTTTGCTTGTATTTGTCCGTTATGATTTTGATAAATCTATTGAAGAAGACTTGCTTTTAAGCACATTTTTGCAAACCAATATGACCGGTGAGAATATATTCAATTAGCATTTGTTTATTATTACCCTTACTTATTTGTGGTCTACTTTTTCAGCTCCATATCTAAGACTGTTTTTAGGGGTTCCACAAAATTATTTTGAGTTTAAAAGGGTTCTGTAGCCTAATAAAATTGGGAAACACTGGCCTAAGGTAATGGAGAGTAAAAGTAATTGCTAGTTGAGATCTGTGTCAAAGGAGTCGATGGTGTCATTTGAGTTCCTTCTGAAGGAGAATCTGTGTCAGAATCAACCATCACAGGGCATGTTGATCGACAGAGCAGATAAGAATTGAATTGAATGAATAGTACAATACTTTCTGACTGCTGATTAAGGTATTTCAGGTAAGGGCTGGGGCACATTGGCACTACCTGACTATGTTGCGCAGTACTTTTCATGTAGCTTAACATTATTTTACTCACCAGTGTGCTTATCAGTCTAGTATTTTTCATGCACTCTTAAATAAAAATGTAAAATAGTAAAAATAACCAGGTATAAGTAAAAAGTTTACCAATTGTCTCTCATACCTGCTTTCACATTCACATCTTATATGGAGAGGTTTTTCTTTTCTTTTTTCTTCTACTGCTCATTTTGTAATAATTTCCAAAGAAGCTTATCCTGGAGGCAAGAAATCTTGAACTTTCTGATTGATGGAATAGACCTGCTTACAGATCTTTATTTTTTCCTGTTCTTTAATCTACAAGAACCTTAAAACAAAAACATTGCAGGCGATGATCTAGAGAACTAGATTTCATCAAACTTTTGGCTGAACATCAAAAGGATGTTTTAGATTCAGCTCTGACTTGGGAAAGTTTGAGACACAACTATTAATTTTCACTATGAAAGTAACAAAGTCCTGGAGGACTGTTCTTACTTTGTAAATGATCATGTCTTTCCATGATGTCATGCTTTTGTTCCTGCACACAGTTGTGATTAATTCTGATTACTGCTTTTTCAACAAACTTCTATTTGGCTCTTGCAGCATATGATATAAAATAGTCCAAGTAAAATATCTATAGTCAAAATCTGACAAGTTTTGGAGATCATCTTTTACTCAACAATATTCTTAATGGTAAAATTGCAACACCTGCAAAAGTTGTGGGTTATGTATCAGTGAGACAGTAACAAAGTTGTGTTCAGAAACAAATAATTGTAGCTCCTCTAAAAAAAATCAAAGAAGGCAAGTCTCCTTTTAATGTTTTTTAGTGGAATTTGCTATGTGAAGGGTAACCTGGTCTCAATAATTTCATACGCAACTGAAAACTATCAGAAGTAGTTTTAGTTCTTAAAAATAATTTTTAAAATGTCATGTTTAATCATTAATATTATAACACGAGCAATTAAAGAAAATATGGACACGCCTGTAAGTCTTCTGCCAGGGGGAGCCAACAGCAACCCGGGCCAGGTTCAATACATAGGAAATCCTCCCTATCCATACAATACACAGCTTGCTTGAGCCTCCCACCTAGTTACCTGGGAAATTCACACAGCACCCCTGGGTGCCTCTGAGAGGCAATGCTTCCCCACTCACAAGCACAGAGTCTGAATGTAGAAAAGAATTTTTTAATAAAAGAGAAGGAAGAAACTTGGCATTAATTTGGGAAAACACCACAAACAGAGTTCATAAACAAAAACTACGAGAAGTCCCACCCCAAGTAGGTTGGGCAATATGCTTTTCCTTTCAGGTTCTTAAGTCCAGCCATTTAAGGGAGCATCTACACTGTGCCCATAGCTTTAAATAAGACACACAATTTGATCTATGCAAATTGCGTAGCTTATTTCGAGTCAATTTTGAAATTTGGCACTGTCTACACAGCACTTATTTTGAAATAAATCACTATTCCAAAATGTCCCTTACTCCTTGTGGAATGAGGTTTACAGGGACGTTGGAATAGCAAGCCTGTTATATTTCAAAATAACGGATGCACTCAAAAGATGCAGAATAGCTATTTTGGGATACCTCTGTTATCCCAAAATAGCACAGCAGTGTAGACGTAGCCTTAATGTCTAGAGCCCCGCATAGATACAAAACTTTTTATCTGCATCTGTATCCACAAAATGAATCACGGATATCAACACTGACATCCATGGGTGTGGATACTAGGACTTGAACAGGGTTCAGAAAGGAGCTAGATAGATTCATGCAGGTTAGGTCCATCAATGGCTATTACCCAGGATGGTAATAGCCTCTGTTTGTCTGGAAATGGATGACAGGAGAGGGATCACGTGAAGATTACCTTTTGTGTTCCTTCCCTCTTGCATATCTGGTATTGGCTACTGTCGGCAGACAGGATACTGGGCTAGATGGACCGTTGGTCTGACCCAGTATGGCTGTTCTTATGTTAAAGAAGATAGCTGCAAAAATGAGACATTGATAACCATATTCACATCTCCAAAGGTGGATATCTGCGGATATAAAGCAGATATCCATGGATTTGGAGGACGCTATAAATGTATCCTTCACATGCCCAACCCTTCGTTGAACTCCACTCACAGTTGCTGTCCTTGGTCAGGGCAGACTCAGAGTTTAGAGGTGCATCCGCAGAGTTCACCTCCCATCCTGAGTGGAGGGGAGGTTAGGAGGCATCTTACTCTCTCTGCTGGTCACTTGCCATCCACCTGCTCCCTGCTTTCTGCCACTGCCCTACTGGCCATTTATCCATTTGTCTCACCTCTGCCACCATCCTGCTGGCCGCTTATTATGCCTCTCCACTGGCGCTCAGTCACTGTCCTCTGCCATCCACTTCTTGGCTGCGACTTCCTCCCATCAGTCTGAAATGATTCATCTCCCAGAGATTTTAACTCTTAGCAAGCAGGGTAGAAGAGACACAACTCCAATACAATTAGCATAAGAAAAGAGGCACTTAATGATACTTATTTGGCTCTGTTCTTTGAACAGTGGTGGTGGGGAGAGGGAAACAGGTCAAACCGGTTCAGAGAGGGCAGGTCATATAACCTTCTGACCAAAATAACCTTTCCTCACCTTTCTGTTTCATAGGGATCTGAGGCTACATCTACACTGCAATGATATTTCGGGATACCAGAGTATCCTGAAATAGCTATCCTGCGTCTTCACAGCAAACCTGTTATTTTGAAATATAACAGGCTTGCTAGTCCGACATTCCTGTAAACCTCATTCCACGAGTTGTAAGGGATGTTTTGGAATAGCTGGTTATTTTGAAATTTGGCACTGTGTAGACAGCGCCAAATTACAAAGTAAGCTATTTTGAAATAAGACCGAAATAAGATATGCAATTTGTATAGCTTTAATTGCGTATCTTATTTTGAGCTACGGTACAGTGGAGATGCACCCTGAAAGTTGAGCCCCTGCATCAAAAGGATTTTTCTGCTAAGTACGAACCTTTTCATTTGGAACAATTTAGCACAGTCCTACTTTTCTGAGTGCCCAGAAAATTACAAACATTGGTAACCATATTTTAGTTAACCCCTCATTTAATGCAAACATAGCTAGTGTTGTGAGACAAATTAAGTTGGTTACAGTGAGCAAAATACTACTCGATCTGCTGAATATCTAAAAAATCTAAGCAATATAGGAGCATACTGTATTTACATAGACATACCCAGAGTGCATCTTCACAGCACCAAATTTTGAAATAATGAGGGTTACCGGGATGCCAAAATAGTGCACCCGTTATTTTGAAAAATATTTTGAAATAACGGGTGTCTTGTGAAGATGTAGGGTATCTATTTTAGGATACCTCCAGTATCCTGAAATAGCCGTGTAGTGTAGACATACACCCAGGGTCTCTCCCCACTTCCAGCTAGCTGCAAGAGACACATTCCTTCAAATCCTGCTTACACATCCAACTCCTGAGCTGTACTTTGACTGGTACAATGTATTCTAAGCCAGTTCTCTGGCCGGCATAAATCAGAGTAGCTCTATTAACCTCTGTTCTTACTGACTTCATTGGAGCTATGACAGCTTTTACCTGTGGACGATCTGGTTCTCTGGCTCTAATTTGTACCTTATTGGGTATTGATTTCTACATTAGTATTGAGACTAGAATGTTGATCCTCATGTTAGGGTTCCTGAGTCTGTGGAATTATATTATTCAGAATCTCATTGGTGTTTAATGTTGGTGGTTCATGATGCATTTAATATGTCGGGCTTCTAGAGTTTAATTTGAAACTCGCAGATTTCTGTGACTTCTTTCAGCCCCACTGGAAAATAATGCATAATTGGTGAGTAGTACTGGTGATTGTTGCATTACTTGTATAAATAATGGTGGTAGCAAAAGAAGTCACATTTCTTTACATTCGTGAGCCGATACTGTTGTACTACTTGAAATGAAACACCGTGGTCCAAAGAGTAAAAGCTTTTAGCATGAACTGAAACTGTCAAAAATTTAACAGCTTTAAACTGGGTTGGATTTGGTACACAGAGACTTCAGCCTGCTTAGTAACATTGCAAATACTGTAGATGGTGTCATGAGCTTTCTTGGGCACAGCCCACATTATTTGTTGTTTTTAAAGTTTTTCCTGTGACACACTAAGTTGGCTACCCCTCTGAAATTATTGCAAATACCGTTACCCATATTTGTCACTATTTTTTAAATATAGAGAAAAAGAATGAAAAGCAGCTAAAGCATTTGAAATGTAAAGCATTAAGCAAATCTTTCATTTGAACAACATCCTTGTTCCGTTTTGCTATAGAGAATTTTAATAAGGAAGAACTTTTTGTTTGACAAATTTTTAGAGGGTATTAAAATTATAACAACTGTCCATTTTGGGGAAAAGAGAAGTGAGTTAGGATACTGTTTTAAAAATCTTAATCCCTCGTAAAAGAGCGAATGAAACAAAATCACACAGAAAAGGAGAAAAACCTCTAATGTTGGCTCTCCTTACTTGCAACTTCAGGGTAAGTCTACACTACAGTGATCTATTGCAAAAAGGTACACAAATTGCGCTATGCAATTTGCATACCTTTTTCCAATCATTTTTTCAGAAGAAGCTTTTCTGAAATATGGCCTGTCTACACTGGGCCAAATTTCGGAAAAGACTCCTCTTTTGGAAGACCCCTTCTTCCTTGTAGGAGGAAAACAGGGCTTCTGAAAGAGCATGTTTGCTCTTCCACAAAAAAAAAAAAAAAAAAGAGGAAGCCACCAAAAGTTCTAGGAAAATGGCAGAGTTTTTCCAGGATACCTTCCAGTATCTTGGAAAAACCCTGTAGTATAGACATAGCCTCAGTGTTGGAAAAGTACAGGCACAGAACACAGTCATGGTACCTGACAAATGTGTACAAGCATTGGGCTGTTTAGGGCATTGCTTTTAGCTGCCTTTCTTTGATCTCAAGGTCACAGCAATATTGTACAATACTAGACTCTTAATAGACAGAAGGAAAAAGGATGGAAGAGAGGAAAGAAAAGAAACAAGGTGGAGAAGTAAAAGGACACAAGAGGTATGTCCAGACCTCAGGTTTTTTTTGAAAAAGGTGGCCTTTTTTTGAAAAAGCTTCCCCTGCATCTAGACTGCCACCGCATTCTTTCAAAATTAAAGCGAAAGAACACGGTGTTTTTGTCGACCGCAGTAAACCTCATTTTACAAGAAAGGATGCCTTTTTTTGAAAGTGCTCTTTTGAAAAAAGGCGTTCTTGACTGCAAACAGGGCTTTTTCTAAAGAGAGCATCTAGACTTCCTGGGTGCTTTCTTTCAAAAAAGCGGCTCACTTTTTCGAAAGAAGTGGTTGCAGTCTAGACACTCTCTTTTAAAAGAGGCTATTTTGAAAGATTCTTTTAAAAAAGCTTCTTTCGAAAGAGGCTTGTAGTCTAGCCGTAGCCATGGGGTGGTAGTGGCAAAGTCTGATAGGGTATGTCTACGAAGCAGTGCTATATCAGGGTAATGTCCATTATCCCAAAAAAGCATTTTACATGTTTTAACAGCATGCCTGTTATTTCAAAATACATTTTAAATAATGGGCTTCTTATTCCGGCTTCCTGTAAACCTCGTTGCATGGAAGGAAGATGCTAGAATAGTATTTTATTTCAAAATTAGTGCTGTGTAGACAGTGCCAAATTTCAAATTAAGCTATTTTGAAATAAGCTACACAATTTGCATAGCTCAAATTGCGTAGTTTATTTTGAGGTATGCACTATGTAGATGTACCCATTCTGGTATAGATGGAGCCAGTACAGGTGGCAATGATATCTGGTACCCTCTCTCTTGGCCTGGTCTGGTTAGGAAGCAGACTTTTCTGGAATATGACGACTAAGGTCCGGGGTTGCAGGAGACAGGGGGAGTTGGCATCCTTGATGGTGGAACTTGTTCCTTCCCATTCTGCCATCTTTCAGTTAACAATCATTTCAGTAGATTGCTTTCCCCCTCAAAAATCTCTTTTTTTGAGGTCCCAAGAAGGAATCCCTCCAATATTTTGTGCACCAGTTAGGCATAATTTCCAACCCATCAATTTTGGTCTATTAATTTCTGGACCCACACTTATTTACCAGACATGAGCCTAACACAGTCCTTGAATTTTATCAGTAGACCTTTTGGTTTAAATTAATTCAGACTAGCTCCTTACATTTTTTCTTAAACAGGTTTATATAACAGGTGATTATGACAACTTATGAATTTTTAACAAGTTAAGCTAACTTTTAAAGTAGGCCTGCTAGGCCACACTTATGACAACAGGACTGAGATCAACTTCATTTAATGGCATAAGTAATATTTACTTATTGTCTACACAATGTTCTGCATAAGTAAAAAATAAAAAATCATTTAATTCTGATGTACTGTGATGTGAAATTGCATAAGTATTCAGATGTGTCTCTTTGGTTTGTACAAATATTACAAATAAAGTAATCCTTTTGTCAGGTGGAGCCAGGCGCGAGGACCAGGTTCAATATCTCGAGTTTCCTCTTAACAAAACAATACAGAACCAGTTTAAGCTCCAACTCAGTAATCTGGAAATTAAACTGTGCCTGGATGCCTCTAAGAGGCAATACTTTCCACTCACAAGCACTGGGTCTGTGTACAGAAGATAAAACTTTTAATAAAAGGAGAAAAGGAACCTGGCTTTAATTTGGGGAAACACCACAGCCATGGATTCATGCACATCTGGCCATGAGGAAAATGCCTGCCCCGGAGTAACTGGCCATGAGGAAAGCTCCTTTGCCTCAGTTTTTCACTTTGTGGTATGAAAGAACAAGAAACCAATGTCCTTTCAACATGCCCACTCTGCTCCCCAGCCATAGCTGCTGTTCTTGGGTAGAGAAGACCCAGAGGTGAATTCACCCCCTGCCTGGAGAGGGGAGGGA